AAACGAAACGAACCCTTAGTTTCTAAACGATTCTGAATACTGTAATTTTATTTTTTGGTCAATGCAGTGGTGGCTGACAGAGGAATGGACAAAATGAATACCAGTACACGAATGGTTGACTGGATCATCAAGCTGGCCCACACCATTCACAAAAGGGTCTGCTATTACTTTGCTTTTTCCAAGGCATGCCTATTCATCACATGTAAGTTCTCTTCCAAACCAAGTCAAAGTCTTGCAACACAGAAACACCAGGGATATGTAGAGTAATTTTTTTTATTAGTATTTAATTTTAAGAATGATCATAGAATTATTTTTCAGAATGAGATTTAATGCTATAAATATTACTTACATCCAAAGTTAATATATATATATATATATATATTATTACAATTTAACTTTTTTTAAAATTACCAAAAAATATTTCAAAACTCTAATCCTAATTTCTCAGCACATCCAATTTTTCCCACCATCTCTATCGACCACCATCATTGTAGCCGTCTCCGACGACCCACCTTCCCATCCCCGGCGTGCCCCTTCGCCATTTCTGCCACCTCCGGCGCCAAAACCTCATCGGTCGAGAAAGTGAAAAAAGAAGAAGGGATCTTCAATTCACTGAACCCTTCTACCACCGTGGCTAGACCACTACCAGATCGTGATCTTGAACAGAATCAACAATTTTCATTTTTTTTTATAATTTTTTTATTTGTTTGGTTGGCCATTGATGAGGATAGTGACACGGTTTCCAGATTCAAAACCCATTATATAAAAAACTGCAAAAGTAAAAAAATGGGAGAGAAGAACCCAAGAAGTGAAATAATTGATTTTTTTTTTTATCCTCTGATGTAATCACTCTGCCATGGTTGGGTATGTTGCGGATCTTGGGCACACCAGGGGACACTCACAAGCAAAAACACAAGACTTTTAACGTGGTTCGGCAAACCGGCCTACGTCCACGGGAGCGATGTTGTTATATATCAACAAATGGAGGAGATTACACACTCTCAACTCACTGTCTCTCTATATAACACACTCTCTCACACTCTCTGACAAACAGAAAATAGCTCTCACTAGCTCTCTCTGTTTTGTGCCTTTCTCTCAGCAATGTGTTTTGCCATTTGCCCTGTCTACAACTCACCATCACCATTCCATTTTATACACCAAAACAGAAGGTGGAGGAGGCCTCATGGGTGTGTTGGCAAGCCTCATGGCTGCCAACTCAAGCCTCATGACTTGCCAACTCATGCCAACCTCTTTTGCCTTCCTTTTACCATGTGGGTTGGCCACCCTTCCATGTGGCTGCCAACTCAATTTGGGTTGATCTCCTACAAATCACCCCCTCAACCCATATGAGGTGATCCATAATAGCACCCCCTGCCTGGAGTGCCCGGCACCCCCTCACTGGGGTGCCATGCAAAGCTTACTTTGCAACTCTTTGAAATGGCATCTCTCCCTTCCATCCAGTCTTGGAGAGATCCCAATATGTCTCTAATTCAGGAGCAAAAGAAACTTTCTTCCCTGGGACATGCTTTGCTGTCTTGGTCTCTTTGCTCTGAGCTGTCTTTAAAATTGGCCGCAATGGCTCCATCTTGTGCACCTCCGAACTGCCTCCATGCGTTCTTGTACACTTTGGTTGCCATGTCTGCTGGGCCCTATGTCTCTTCTGTGCATGTCTTGTACGTCTTGCCCGGTAAGTGACAGTAGCTCCGTCTGTCACAACCTTCTCCACAAGCCTGTACAGATTTCCCTCCAGTCGTCCATGTAGCATCACCGTATCTCCATGGATGACTTTGAGATTTCCTTTGCTAGATGTGAAGCTATAACCCTTCATATAGCGATCCCGGTATTTCCTGTTGTTGTTTAACTGTAATCCGGACTCGGTTCCGTAGATTCGTTGTTGTCTTATCCTCATTTCTATCCCCTACTCTTTTAATTAGAGTTTTGGGTTGTGTTGGGCAAGTTGGGAATAAATTGGTCGTGTTTTAAAACTTAGAATTTTTGCCCAGGTTTTGGTCTCTCCGCTCGAGCGGAGATTTGATGCTCGAGCGGGATTTTGTTGCTGCCTTTCCGCTCGAGCTGCAGTTTGGACGCTCGAGCGTGAATTTCCTTCTCTCAGCATTTTGGACATCTGCAGAAAATTCTGGGAGAGTGCATCCGGCGCTTGAGCGGATCTTGGGACGCTCGAGCGTGAACCTGTGTCTGACGCTCGAGCGGGGTGTTGTACGCTCGAGCGGACCTGTTTTTATATCAGTCCGTGAAATCACTTTTTTGATCACTTTTTGATTTCCTTTCTCTCTCTTACTTTTTCAAAACCTCCATTGGAGAGCACCTCACTCTAAAACCCTAACTTCTCTCTTAGGATTGATCTAGTAGGAGTTGTTTTCTCACCTTGGGCCTTTACAAAAGTTGTGTTGATCGTAGAGGGCTATCTTTTAATCTGAAAATTTCGGGATTTGGAGCATTTCCGTTTCTTCATCTCCTTCGTTGAGCTCCATCATTCGAGGTAGGGATAACCTACTCCATCTTATGAGCTTTGTCTTTGAATTTTAGCATTTTGATATGTCGGGGGTTGTTGGGTAATTTTGAGAAAGTTTGGGCCTTTGTGTAATTTTACA